AGTGGAGGCCCAATGTCCATCTGCTACCTTAATACTAAACCTATACATATATGTGCACATATTTATTTCCTCATCATCATATAAGTATATTTACATATGTACATGCCTGTATTTAGACCTCTATATATATGCCCTTTGCCTCCTAACTCTTTCCTCTATTTCCTTTGACTTTCCTCTTGTCCCACTATCATGCTCAGCCTTCATTTTGGTTTCAGTAATTCCTCTAGGTTACATTACCTTTGATCAAGCCCTACCAGGCCTCTTATATCCTCCTCACCACAGATTTTGGATCACTTGTTGTTCCCTTGTCTCTGGGTTTGTTAACACCACTTCCTTTCCCACACTTCCCCTCTTCCATGTCCCCCAGAACTGGAACTGTCCGTCCTGTTGTTTTCTCCTCCAGATTGTTTATCCAGCCTATCTTATCTAGATAGACCTGGGGTGCTAGTATTTCTTGCTTGTTCCATGACAAAAAATTCTTCCCTGGCCTTTTAAATACTGATGGTAGTCTTTTCTTTCTTATTCCTTATTTGTATTATTATTATTATTTTTATCCTTAGCCCTTTATTTTGTTTCTGTTTTTTATTGTTTCTGTTGGGTTTTCCAGTTTGTGAATGAAGCAAGAAGGAGTAGATGCATAGAGATAAGAACTGATGAAAGGGCTTAGGGGGGACTTAGGGGGTGGGGGTGAGAGGTGGGAGTAAACAAAGTATTTGGGAGGGGGTAGGGAGTACTAGAACTGATGGTGATTACGCAACTCATTTTAAAAGGAATAAACCATGAGAAAAGTTTCGAAAATGGATTGGAGTAATGACTGTATAATTCTTCTGGATACGACTGAACATTGAATTGTGCGATATGTGGATTCTGTGCCAATAAAACTGCAAAAATAAAATAAAATAAGAGTGTGCACTCAATGTAATTTACTCAACTACTAACCTAAAGTTTGGTGATTCAAACCCACCCAGCAGAAAGAAAGCCCTGGTAGTCAACTTTCCTTAAGATTCGCCAGTCCGGAGCACCCCGAAGAACAAGAAGATGCTCTCTACCAAGGGGGAGCCTGCCAGCAGTGGACCCGAGGAGGCGGCTGCTAGCAGCAAGAGCAACAGCACTAATAAAAAGAAAAAAATTAAAAAACCAGCCCAGGAAGATTAAAAATGGCCATTGCCTGGTGCTCCCCAACCCTCTCAATAAAAGAAAACAACTACACACACACACACACACACACACACACACAAAGATTCGCCAGTCAACTCAATTTTCAACTCTTAACAAGTTCATGTGAGAGAGTAGATTGGCCTCATAAGATTCTGTAGATAGACCATCAGGTCTTTCTCCCACATACCTACTGAGTGGCTTTGAACCATCAACCTTTCCGTTATCACCTGCCACAATGGTATGGGGGATGGTGGGCGTGACTGACCTCCTCTACCTTCATTGAGGTAGAAGAAGAATCAAAACCAATAGCAGCTAAGGCCCATTCCTTTGAAGTGGAGGAAAAACATGTGTTCACCCTCCAACCTTTTCATAAGTTCTGACACCAGTCATACCTCCTGTGATATTCTGTGCTTCTCTGTTGGGTTTGATACTTCATTACCATGGCCATACAGAACTCACAGACAATCCTCATGATTATGGAATTTACTAAGGAAGTTAATGGGTTACTATTCAGGGTCAAGAAGGCTGTGTAAGTTGATGTATGGAATGTTGTAAGAGCCCCCAATAAAATGATTTTTAAAAATGCTCTGGATACAGTTCTTCAATAAGGACAGTCTCCTAATAGCTGTGCTTTAAGGCATGCCTCTCTCTCTGGCCCTGAGACGCTCAGCAAAAGGTCCCTGGCCTCTGTC